CTCCCCAGAGCAGTTTGCTGACAGTCTATGGTTTAATGGACCATCCTTCCTTCGCAATCACATCAGCCCTGATCTTGATGTCGAATATTCTTTGGTGGAGCCAGAATCGGACAAAGAAGTACGACCTGATGTTCACTCGTGGAAGACTAACATACGTACTACACTGGGAACATCTAGATTCAATCGTTTCTCCAGTTGGAACAGCCTTGTGCGTGCTATCCGTACTATACGAGTTCGGTTAAGGAGTCGTTTCAATATCCAGAATGATCTTACCAGACGCGAGGTTGAGCTTTTCGTCATCAAAGAGCTCCAGATGACCTACTTCAGTAAAGAAATTCAAGCGCTTCGTTCTTCCAAGTCTTTGCCTAAGGATAGCTCTGTGCTTTGCTTGAATCCTCACCTTGATGAGAAGGGACTGCTGCGGGTTGGTGGACGCATTAACCGAGGTGACTTTCATGAGACCGAGAAAAATCCCATCTTGATACCAGGTCGCAGTCATATTGCCAAGCTCCTTGTGCAACATCACCACTTGCAGGTACAACATCAAGGACGCCACATGACCGAAGGTGCAATTCGTAATGCTGGACTTTGGGTAACCGGAGCAAAACGTCTGATTGCTTCCACGATACATCACTGTGTGACATGTCGCAGACTACGAGGGAAGTTTTCCTCTCAGAAAATGTCGGATCTGCCTGTAGATCGCCTGACTCCTTCACCGCCATTCACACTGGTTGGTGTTGATGTATTCGGTCCTTGGAACATCATCACTCGACGTACAAGAGGCGGAAACGCAAGTTCGAAACGATGGGCAGTCCTCTTTACCTGTTTGTACAGCCGAGCAGTCCACATTGAGATCATCCCAGAGATGACGTCATCATCATTTATCAACGCCATGCGGAGGTTCATTGCCGTCCGAGGTGAAGTTTCGGAGTTCCGCTCAGATTGCGGTAGTAATTTTGTAGGAGCGGTCAATGAACTTGGAATTCACTCTATCAACGTGGGAGATCCTCAAGTGAAAACTTACCTGGACACCAACAACATGATCTGGAGATTTAATCCTCCCCATGCATCTCATTTCGGCGGAGTATGGGAGAGAATGATAGGAATAGCCCGACGCATTCTCGACGCGATGCTTCTTGACGTCAAACATGGACAGCTGACAGATGAAGTGCTAGCGACTTTCATGGCCGAGGTTGCTGCTATAATGAATTCTAGACCTTTGGTTGCTGTTTCTTCGGATTGCGAGATGCCTCATTTGCTGTCGCCAGGAAAGTTACTAACTCAGAATACCAGTGACGACATAATCGTCCCGCAGGACTTAAGTATCAAGGATATGTACCGCTCGCAGTGGCGAATGGTCCAGGTCATGGCGAACACCTTTTGGAAACGCTGGAAATCGGAATTTCTGTTTGCTCGACAAGCTCGTTTTAAGTGGAACTTAGAGACTGTTAATCATAAAGTAGGTGATGTTGTGTTTCTCCGGGACAAGGGATGTCCCCGTCTTTCGTGGCCGACTGGTCTTGTTACCAAAATCTTTCCGAGTGATGACGGACTAGTGCGTAAACTAGAGATACGGGTTGTGAAAGACGGAAAACCTAGTGTTTTCATTCGACCCATTTCGGAAGTGATTCCGCTGCTTGATTCCTGTGAATAACTTTTTCGTGTATTAGTGCCAAGTGTGATGCGAACTGTTGTGACATTTAGATGCAGAGACTGTGCAATGTCAACTTATGAACTCAGCTATATTGATTTATGTGTTTTCAGTGTTTAGTTGCTGTTGACTCGATTCGTATTTCGATCTAAGTTATAGATCTTGTGAAACTTTTCATGAACTTGAGTGATTAGAAATCAGACGGGGAGTGTCATGTTAGTGTAGCAGGGTTATCCCCCTTCTCGGAACTCCTGTCTATATTTGGTAGCGGGGATTTCCATTATCTGTATCGTATGCTGAACGTTTCAAGATGTCGGACGTGTTTACATCGCTGAGCGATTCACACAGTACAATTCGAGGAATTTTACCGTCTCTAGTCCCCCAAAGAGTGAGTTTATTGTCCCATACAAGTTGAAGAATTATGTTCTTCCAATTGTTGTAAAATAGTCACTGCCTTTGATACGCTACACAAGTTGGAACTTATTACCAATTTGCCAATTTTTCCACTGTCCCATTTCGCCCCATAATGTTTTCATCCTGAATCGACCCACTATTTGCTCCCATCTCGATTTCGTGTTCTTTCTATGTTTTTGCTAAATATGAGCCGTAGTAGATTTTTCCCAATTACTCGTGTTGTGTGCCCAAATTTTGGTAAGTGACTTATGAGTGTTCATTTTGTTCTTTCAGTTTTTCACTACATACATGCTCACATCCGTAGTCTGATCTAGATACATACATCGATCAACATGTTGTACTTCGTTTGACTTCTGCGTGTTAGCGACATACTTGAAGTATTGCTTTTTCTGGAATAAAATCGAAGCCAACATTTCTACATGCTTCAAGCGTTTTTCATTTTCATCGATCACAGGCTTGATAGTAGGTCTATTATCAGAACAGGAAAGAGTATTTTAGAAATATTGTATAACTGTTAATATTCATGATAGAATTAAAATGTTATGTAATCAATTAATGGTACTTAAAGATATACCTCATATGAAGATATTTTTTTTTCGGTATTTTAAATAATGTTGAAAATCACTTTTCATGTACTCCCCTTTCGTTGTCAGCCATGAAAACTTTCCGGTCAAGCTAATGAAAGCATAAATTCCAAGGCGTGATGGCTTATAGAAGTTACCTTTTTCTCTTTAATCCGAGTATACTATTTTGACATGTTATGTAATAAACAGTTATCCAATGTGATTGTGTACTCTATCTTTCATTAAGTTTTAACACAGGCTAACATGAAAAAAGAAGGAAAATAAATAATTGTTTTAATATTACTCTTCACAATTTTATTACGCAATATTTTTTACATTGTACAATTTTGTCTATTGCTTGTTTTTACATCTGAAAACTATAAATATGTTGGTACAGCTTATATACCAAGACTAGTGCTTCAGGATGCGTGTGCTGTTGGGCCAACACATAGTCAATACAGACACTCTAAGTATCCTCAAGAGTCAAGCAACTACAAACAATTGGTAAGCAATCAGTATACAAGGGCAATTCAGTAAGTAAAAGCATAATATTCATTATGCTCGTAAACATGACTATGTCTTAAAATCATTAAGAAATATCAAGTAATGACTTTAGTAGTCAATATCACAATTGTACAATGAAATACTAGCATCGATTAAGTTCATGCTTACTAGAGAAAGAACGAATTGAATATCATTGTTTAATATAAGATTGTTAATTACCTGTTTCATGGTTCATTCCAATCTATTTACGCAGATTTTAATTCTTACAAAATATTCATAAGGTATGACGAGGGACTAAGAATAATGCAGTTATACATTCCTAGTATGATCCACTATATGTCTGCGCTGGAATAAATATTTGTGATATACTGATATTCACATTAATATTTATTCTTTCCATTAAAAAATATACCAGTATGTGATTGGTAGAATTTCAAACATTAAGATTAGTAGAATTTGTCTTACAGATTTTCATGACTCAGTATATTGAAGAACTTAAAGAAATATGACATTACAAAAGTTTATATTACAATTAAATGAAAGATATTGGAATCGCTGTAAGTCTCCACAATATTAGGAATACACAATTTCTCCAAAATTCTGTAACATCATCTTATCTTAGACATGACATTGCTATGTATCTTTAATAGAAATTAAACAGTTATGATATAAAACACACCATGAATGGAGTTGTTCAGATACTTAGTCTAAATCATATAAAAACATTAAATAAAAATCAACTGTGAAAACCTCCAACTTATGGCTGTGTGTTTTAAATATTCTATAGCATCCTGCCTAACATTGTTAATGTATGAAACCATCAAAGGTTTGTTCCTAATACAGGGCTACCATCGTCTGGAATGCTAATATCAAAAGCACTTATTAAAATAGAGTTGTACACCAATTACAAAAACATCATCAAGAAATGTGTAAAATTAATTCCATAAAGACAACGCAACCATCAGAAATTATCCATTTGTTTGTATCTCAATCATTTCCAGAAAAAAGTTGACATAATCTTTGAAAAATAATAATAATGATATATCAATATTTATCGGAAATTCTACAAAGCAAATAGCCTACCCTAAAGAACAAAACCACCACTCCTGATAAATTAAATATCTAACAGTGATTATTACATGGTAATAGTTTTGATTGTACATCTTAAAACAAATTATCTGTACTTGATAATAGTATTTTCACTTTTGCAAAAATATACATATGAACAGTTCTGAGAAACAGTATGGTTTTACAAGGTTACACCAATAGTATAACTACCTCTCCATTTTTTTTTCTCAGTCTTGTGGTAATTTTCATTTCAGAATTCTGATACATCTTCATAGTTGAGCAAATGCATCCAGATTACAAAGCCCTATTCCAGACAAACATCTACTTGACTCCAGGACACCAAAATAGATTACTACAGTGCATGGTTAAATTTCATATTTATTTTGCCCCTAACAAAACCTGAAGTGAGATAGATGCTTTACTGGACAAATCCTAATAGAGAAATCAATGTCATGATGAAGTCATTTTTGAACAAAGGATCTTTAAAACTTGCGGTGTTATTCTGCGACAGATATCTTTAAACTTACAAAAATTCACTGAAAATCACTTTTTGAGAGAGGGAGTCTGATCAAAACAATTTATCATACCAATTTCCTTTAGCTTCTAATGCTGATCTAGTAACCATTCCCCCTCCCCGTCCCCCAATATACACCATACAGTCACCATCCCCCCTCCCTGTCCCCCAATATACACACCACACAGTAACCATCCCCCCTCCCTGTCTCCCAATATACACCACACAGTAACCAACCATCCACCCTCCCTGTCTCCCAATATACACCACACAGTAACCACCAATATACACCATACAGTAACCATCCCCCCTCCTTGTCCTCCAATATACACCATACAGTAACCATCCCCCCTCCTTGTCCTCCAATATACACCATACAGTAACCATCCCCCCTCCTTGTCCTCCAATATACACCATACATGACAAGACATTTTTCTTCGTGTGCTGTTCTTAGTAATCTTAGTAATTGAGTGAGATCTAGTATTGTATTGCATTAGACTTGCTGTACAAAGCCTGTACAAAGCCTGGTCAACTTTTCATCTGTTTCTATCATGGCTAAAAACATCAGAAAACTTTAGTTCTTCACCCACAAAATGTGAACATGTCTTTATTTACTATGATCTCACACCTATTCCCTTTTTCCAAAACAAAAAACTTTAAAAATCATTCATAATGAGATATGTTCTATATACTATTAAAAAAAAACTATAAGAAAATACCAACATGTCACCATAATTATAATCCAAACTCAAATTCAATAAAACTTCTATGGACAAAACATGAACAAAAGAAAGATTACATGCAGATTCTTGGAACGGTACAAGAAGAATAACAGCAGGTGTATTGGAAGAGTGAACATCTTCTGCTTCATAGACAACACCTGACATGTGATTCTTGTTCAACTAAGTAATATCAGTAAGTTAACAATTTTTAAAAGATTTTTTTCAAGATTTATTAAAGAAAAAAAAAATAAAGCAGACTCTCTGTTGAAGTAACTCGGGCACCAGGAATCTTCACATTGGAAGGATGGCTTTATTTGAAATCAACATTGGATGTTATACTTTTGTTATGTTAAGTCAACCAGACTTTGAGTAAACTCTACATTTAAACATATATTACCTAAATTCTCTGAAACTTTACCTCTTTTCAGAAAGGAGTTGCATATGCAGTTTAAAATTAACTAGACTTTAGCAAGGCTCTTCTACTTCAACTTCTAGGCATCATCAGGGACCAGGTACTTCTGTACCATATAGGGTAACTTAGTTTTTTCTGTTTGTGATTTTCACAAGTATTGTCAACAAAACTGTCTCTCTTAAACATGTAAAACCACTGAGCACTATTACTTATGTGCGTGAAATATTCAAACCATGTACATATTTTCCATTGAAAGGTATGTTCATTATTTAATAATATTTCTTGTTTTAGATTTTAAAAATACGTAATTGATGACAATACTATCATGTTGATTTGACATAATGTGTATTTATTTGTACAACACCCTTCCTCCCCTCTTCAAAAATCCTTTTTAGACATTGAGAATTCTAGCAAGGAGACTTATCAAGGATATATCATTACACAAAGAATAAATAAGTCATATATATGTGCAGTCAACAGTAATAGTAATAATTGCACTCTGCATTTACAAGTCTCATTAAAAATTGCACTCCTGATCTGCTACAACAATTTTCAAACAAACCCAACATAATCATGATTCCTATGGCACTCTCAAAGTGCCAGTAAATATCTGCACATTGTTTCTTTACCACAAGCTTAAATGATATGCAAAGGTGTACTGGTATGGTCACTTATGACACACTCGGCTGTTAAGATACTACATGGCGATTCAAATCATACAATGATCCGTAGTACAATGATCCTAAAGGCATATGTGTTCTGTAATTCTTATCTCTTTGATTGAATTGTATGAACTAAACCTCATACTGCAGGACATAAGACTGACCAGTGTTTAATCTTATTTTCAAACTACATTCTCCAAGATCTCAACGCTGCAGTTTCTAGAGAATTAGCCAGATTTTGAATGTAACTGATCTGTGCATTACATTTGGAAACTAAATAAAAGTGCGTTTTTTTTTTAAAAATCTTTGTAAGCTGATGAGCTGGATACAGGAGAGATAGGCAAAATTGCTTAAGAGTCAGAAAAGTCTATGCCTGGAAAATTAAAAAGTGACAACTTATAAGAATTACCAGTAAAATGTGGAGTCTGGTGAGTTTATTTAAGTTTTACTGGATAATCCAATGTTTAGAAATACCTTATCAGTTTTGTATGCCATGAACAAGGATATGTCTGTAGGTTATAATTGCTGAAAATCAACAAAATCTAGAAGTGATTTTTATTACAATTGAAAACAAAATTGAAATGTCAAATTAAAAAAACATTCTTGCCAAACATTCTTTTTTATATATAAAATATAATGATTAGAGGCATGATATGTATACTTCACCAGTATATCAATTATGGATCCAAGTAATTAAAATTTAAGATCAACATAAGGAAAATATTTCCTGTATCAGGTTTATCAGGTTACGATCACAAATCTAGAGTTATCTTCCTTTGAATATAATTTCATATGATGGCCATCAAACACTGAATGGGTCACTTTAATTGACTAATTGACAGCCCAACATAAACAAGTACTAATTGTAATGGGGACCATTACAAATGTCCCCCAAACGACCCCTTCAGCATTAAATGATCACAATAATCAGACCTGCAGTCATGCCAAACATGGACTACACCATTTTGCTCCTGGTGCCACCTAATACATATATAACAATTTTCACGAAAATCAGGCAATATCTAAAATTTGGCCAAATTTTGACCACAGCTGACCACTCAGATGACCGATTGGAAAAATTCAAGTGACCTGCACTCCACCTCGCATGTATGAATATGTGTGTAAAGTTTTGTTAAATTTCAAGCAAAAGTTTTTGAGAAACGCGTCGGAAACCTCACCAGCGGGAGAAAGTGAAAGAAATAAAAATAATAATAATAATAATAATCAGAAGAAACGGAGCAAACACTATATGTCCCCCCACTTCGTTTGGGGGACATAAATATCCTGTGGTGGCCTAAGTGCAAGTATTTACATCCAAAGCAATCAACCATAGCCAGAATTTTCAAAGTTTGTGTGTATCCTGAACAGACATTCAATATCATTTCTGTTGCAATTAAAAAACACACGCTGAAATTTCTTTTAAAAAAGAAAACAAAAAATGCACAAGTCATCTAAAGTCCTTTTCCAAGTGAAGAGCCAAACTTTGAAGATAAATGAAAACACAATGAAGGTCACAGCCATTTTTACTTTAGGAAAACATTTTTCCTATTATATACACAACTATATTTAAGCACATTGTTGTTACCAGAACTCTATCATAATACCCACATTTCAATGTCCATAAGGAATTCTTAACATTTTCTGCAAGGATGAATGTAAATAGAAAATACAGGGTGGTTGAAAAGGTTCCTTTTATATATTGAAAGCTTATATCCAGGGATCTTCTTTCAGATGACAAAGTATCACCTTTCCCGTTCAACAACTTTACAGTCTAATGTGTCAGAGTTACCTCCCTTCCTCGGCACTTTCACACCTCCATATTTAAGTTTCTATTGTGAATTCGTTTTAAAAAATAAAAAGAGCACAACTAAAAATGCTTGTGATTGATCCTGAGAAGAAAATCCAATTGGATGAGTTCATCACAACAATGAAGCTTCAAAAATGTAGTTTTAATACATGACAATTATATAATACATTTACTGGAGCTGACACCCTAGTATATACTGACTGGACATGGTCAAGAAACTTTCTCAGTCTAAAACAAGTACATTGTTTTTTTAATTCACAATAACTGCACAGCAACTTTGTGCATCAATTAGGACACAAGAAAAAAACAACAAAAAATACAAAAAACCAAAGTTATATATGTATCCATTGAAAGCCCAATAAAATAACCACATAATCATGGACATATGATGAATGAACTATGTAACCCCCTGTGTTACTCTGCTGGGTGTTCGGGACAAGATCTGTTCTTCTCAAACCATTTATCGATGCATCTGAAAACAAGAATTATATGGTACTTAAAGACATATATTTTACTGGGCAAAACTTGACATGAATAATAAAGAAGAATAAACCTTTTTTGTAGGAATATGTTTAAATTGAATATGTACCAGGTACATGCAATATTGTCCAAAGTTTAATAAAACAGTGATAATTAAGGCAATAAAATGGTTCATACTAAGAATCTTTGCAACTTAATTATATTTAGCATTTTATAAAACATTGTAACTGAAAATAAAAGGTCTCATCATTTCTATATTGAAATCATTTTTCAAGACTTTGACAACTTCAGAATCATTTTTCAATTAAAAACGTTATCAGCAGAATTTGAAAATGCAACATCAGCAAACAGAAAAAAGTTAAGTATTTCTGCATAAAACTTTATCCCAGCTTATGAGAAGTGTTCTTTTCAAAGATAAATTTAGCATCCTGAAGAAGACAATGAAATCCCACTTCTTAGCTGACTGATATTGTCATATTTCCTGTATGATTGACATTTGTATTAGTTCTTTTGATTACTAGTATGTATGAAAAATATCAAAATACCTGTGTTTAAATAAAACAAGATTAGATTTTTCACTAACTGTGTAACTTCTAATTCAGCAATACACTTATTTAGACTTGCCATCCAGAGGTCCAGACATTACCTTACCATGGTAATGTGTTGAAGCCACAAGAAAATACAGTTTTAAAAGTGAAGCCCAAAAAGATAATGACAAATAATGTCTATTTTGCCACAAATTCCTGGTGAGCATTGGACAAAAAAAAATGTGTCCATAATTGTGGATATAGAGGAGACCCATAGTCCTTATCACAATATCAGTAGGAAAATTATCAAGTTGTGCAACAGGTATGCTTTATTATATTATATCAATGTTATGAGATACCTGTCTACAGTTTCTGATCAATGGCGAATATTTAAGATACTATCAAAAGAGCAAAGAACTATCCAGGATAAACATTTAGCAGTTAACACAGTATGGTTTTTTTTTAGATCTTTTTGGGGCTGATAATTGACCCCATTTCCTATTGAAATTATTTCATATTTTAAGCAAAATTCCAAAAATTTGCAATTTTCTCCCAGAAATGTTTTCTTCATAATTCACCAATTTTCTTTTGAAAATGAGGAGAAAGTAACCACACCCTGGAGATGAATAGAAATGACCTCTCTGATGTTATGTGAGTTTGGGATATGATGTGATATGATATGGAGAATGATTTTGTCTGTATATGGTAGTCAGCCTACTCATTTCATATTTCTTGTGTTATTAACTCTGTAAGGTACTGGAATGTAGACATATATGTTAGGAGTCCCTTCATCGTCAATCTTTTTTCCATCTATGTAATATAATTGTATTGATACTAACCCTTTATGGTATATACACAGACATGGTAGTCGAGCGATGGTGTCTCCCTTTTCCAGGTCATCTAGACATATCACACATTCGCCCTTGTCCTCTGTCAACACATCCTCTGGAAACCCAAATATTCACAGTACAGTATCACAATAATATGAATACAACAGACCTGATAAGAGGTTGTTAATTAAAATCTTTGATAAGGTAAAATGTGTTCCTATCCTTTTTTCTTGAGCTGATGAGAAAACTGTTTGGATAACCATGGCTGTTCCTGTTCCTTTTTTGGCTCAACTATTTGGACCCTAACTTTAGGGCAAACATTATCAAATAATTTAATTTGATTTGAATATTCAAGTAAGTCCACCAGAAAGAGCAGATGTACTAAACTGTACTATCAACCAGATTAATGGAAGTTTAAATACATAAATATTCATGACCTCTAGATTATCAATATAATTATGTATTTTTAAATTATGAATATATACTGAAAGGATAAAGAAACGCAGGGTAATATTTATTCCGATATTTTAAAAATGTGTTCTCCAAATAAAGTGAAACTTTGTGGATTGAGTAATTAGGTCATATTACACCTTGTCATGTATCGAAAATTTAGTCATGGTACAGTGCGCAGCTCTGGTAAATGGAGGAAGGAACAAGAGATCCCAGAGGGATCTTGGCGCTAACCATTTGAGAATCTGTTTTCAGTTCTTGAAGATTTGTTTATTTTTTTTTGTTTGTTACAGGTGTTGTAAATGGTCATGAACTGGTCTTCATTGAATGTACTCAATGATGGCACAAGATATTTTTATTAAGCACCTATTAGCAAATATCATTTGAAAAAGATCCCAAAGTATTATTAGATAGCAGTCAGTTACAGGTGGATAATGGACAATATGCTTGTACTGTATTACTGTCGACATCCAAGATGGCTGCCTGTGGGCCACCTTGATTTCAAATCAGTCCAAAAAAGGTACAATGCACAACTAGGGACCAAGGGAAACCAATATCTATGAATTATCAGAAGGATCCATCCAGGACTTCCTCAGATATAGCAGTAATAAGATTTTACTCTCAAAATCCAAGATGGCTGCCTGTCAGCCATCTTGATTTCGGATCAGTCCAAAAAGGTATAATGCACAACTTGGAACCAAAGGGAACCTGCATATGAAATTTGAGAAAGATCCATCCAGTACTTTCCAAGAAATAGCAGTAACAAACTTTTACATTCAAAATCAAAGATGGCCACCTGTCGGCCATCTTGAATTCGAATCAGTCCAAAAAAGGTACAACGCACAACCTGGGACCAAGGGGAAACTGCATATGAAATTTGAGAAAGATCCATCCAGTACTTTCCAAGAAATAGCAGTAACAAACTTTTACTTCCAAAATCCAAGATGGCTGCCTGTCAAAAAAGGTACAGTGCACAACTAGGGACCAAGGGGAAACTGCATATGAAATTTGAGAAAGAACCATCCAGTACTTTTCCAGAAATAGCAGTAACAAACTTCCAAAATCCAAGATGGCCACCTGTCGGTCATCTTGATTTCAAATCAGTCCAAAAAAAGGTACAATGCACAACTAGGGACCAAGGGAAACCAATATCTATGAAATATCAGAAGGATCCATCCAGTACTTCCTCAGATATAGCCATAAATCCAAGATGGCCACCTGTCAGTCATCTTGAATTCGAATCAGTCCAAAAAAGGTACAATGCACAACTAGGGACCAAGGGGAAACTGCATATGGAATTTGAGAAAGATCCATCCAGTACTTTCCAAGAAATAGCAGTAACAAACTTTTACTTCCAAAATCCAAGATGGCTGCCTGTCGGCCATCTTGAATTCGAATCAGTCCAAAAAAGGTACAAGGCACAAATAGGGACCAAGGGGAAACTGCATATGAAATTTGAGAAAGATCCATCCAGTACTTTTCCAGAAATAGCGGTCCAAAATCTAAGATGGCCACCTGTCGACCATCTTGAATACGAATCAGTTCAAAAAAGGTACAATGCACAACTAGGGACCAAGGGGAACCTGCATAGGAAATTTGAGAAAGATCCATCCAGTGCTTTTCCAGAAATAGCGGTATCAAGAATTGTTTACGGACAGATGGACGGACCACGGTTGCAGGGCGATTTGAATAACCCACCGTCTATTAGATGGTGGGCTGAAAAACTAGAATCTCGTGCACCATGTTGTTCTGGTCTCATGCAGAGTAGGTCAAGTCACTCTTCGTTAGTCTTTATACAGACCAACTGCTTCCCTAAAATTAATTGAGAATTTGATTCGTTTTAAGAATGGCAAGACTCACAGAAGTTCAGAGGGGTCAGGCCATTCAGATGCTGATGCAAGGACAGCTGCAAAAATCAGGTTGCTAAGCACTTTGGTGTTAATGTTTCCACCATAGAACGTCTTCGGGAAACTGGGCGATTGGCCGATCGACCTAGGTCAGGACGTCCGCGCGAAACATCACGACGTCAGGATCGCTATATCGTCGTCTCTCATGTGCGTAATCGGCGCCTTACTGCCGTTGAGAGTGCACTTAATGTTCGTGGAAATCATGGGCGTCCTATAAGTTCAAAAACTGTAAGGAATCGATTACGAGATGTCAGTGTAAGAGCACATCGACCCTACGTAGGTCCACCTTATCCTTGCTCGACGTCAGCGTCGTATGGCCTAGGTCACTGCACATGCTCCATGATGGTTTCCACTGAGGCAGTGGAGACAAGTTTTCTTCACGGACGAGTCTCGATTCTGTCTTTATCGATCTGACGGCCGTCAACGTGTCTACCGATGTCGTGGCAAATGTTTTACGGACGCTTGCATTGTAGAGAGGGAGAGGTTTGGTGGCGGTTCAGTAATGGTGTAGGGAGGAATCTCACACGGCTTAAAATCACAATTGGTTGTTATTGATGGCAATTTAACAGCAGCTAAGTATAGAGATGAGATCCTCCTACCCCATGTTATTCCTTTCTTACAACAGCATAATTTAACCCTCCAGCAGGATAATGCTAGGCCCCACGTAGCAAGTCTTTCTGGCCAACAACAACATTCAACCACTAGAGTGGCTGCCATATAGCCCTGATTTGTCCCCAATCGAGCATCTTTGGGACCAGTTGGATAGACAGGTTCAAAAGCGCCAGCCATCCCCTGCTACTCGAGAGCAGTTGACCAGACCTCTGACCAGAAGAATAAGGGCCGTGACCACAGCAAACGGTGGACACACAAGATATTGATGACTCAGTTCAATTTCAATTTCAAAATCCTATGGCTCCATTCAATTTAATCATTAGTACCTCTAAACCAATTGTCAGATGCAAAATACAGACTTTGGAAATTTGTAAGCTTTAATTTATCTGCAAGTGTACAAAATTTCGTTTTTAATGAAGCCCGATATCATACTTAATTTCTGGTCTAAAGCTCACCCTGCGTTTCTTTATCCTTTTAGTATATGAATTATGAAGAGATTTATCTATAATGTAGATTTGAAATTGAAACATATTTATGATTTCTTGTCAGAAATAAAGATCATACTCAATAATCCATGTGCCATTCTCTTACTATCGTTGTACACATCAGTTAGATATGTAACACAGTTACAATAGATAGACATTTTTCAATAGCTGCAAATTCATAATTGTGACCTAATCATATCGTACTGATATGGATGAGTGATTCTTTTAAAAAAAAACAGTTACATCAAATTTTAATAACTATACTGTAATTCTCAAGCTGTTTTAATTTTCATAAATATATATATTTTGTGATTTTCTGTCAGGATGTATTCATGTTTATATTTATCACAACAAAGAAAATATCTTGTTTTGTGACACGATTCCCTGAAGTCTAATTTCAGATATACCTGAACTGCTTTTCATCTCGGATAACACCTCTTTTTGTTTCAGACTGACCTATTGTGAGCATTCTACCCATGTTTGTTTTCTTTTTAACAAAATAAGAAACAACTAGCACATCAAGTACATAAATCTGTTCAGCATAGAAAATTACAATACCTGTGACAATGTGACAACATGCATACATACTTGTGTCCTGTAATGAACACAAGGTCATTAGGTCATTCATATAATACGATGATGAAGTTTGTATTTCTCAGGAAGCTGGGGAACTTTTTGTGTATAATACCAGACAGTGTAAACATCTAACTTGCTCTGGATGTGACAAGCCTCCCATGTTCAGTGAAGTAACCTCCAGCTACTTCAAGGAACTGCTGCATAAAAATGATCTTGGCTGTTGACACATTAACATTGGTCACTTTACAAAAGGTCAAAGTCTACTAAATATCCCAGAGAGATCTTGGTGCCCACCATTGTTTGATCTTCATATTCTCTTTGACCTAAAGGAATCTATACAAGAAATTTGAGAAAGATCTATAGAGGAGTTCTCAAGAAAAATCCACGATGGCCGCTTGTTGGCCAATTTTGTTTTTTCTGATCACTACCAAAATCAAACAGGCACAACTAGGGATCAAGGAAAGTATACACATGAAATTTCTATGCTGTAGTTCTTAAGAAATAGCGATAACAAACTTGCAAATTAAAAATCCAAGATGACCTTTTCAGCTATTTTGTTTTTCTGATCAGTGCCAAAATTAAATGGTTACAACTAGGGACCAAGGGAAACTTACATATGGAATTTGACAGAGATCCATTCAGCGCTTCTCATGAAATAGCGATAACAAACTTCATTGAAAAAATCCAAGATAGCTGCCTGTCAGCCATTTTGTTACTTTTATTTGTCCCAAAATCAAACAGACACAATTAGGGGCCAAGGGAAACCTACATATGCAACTTGAGAAAGAGACCTCAACAAATCTACCAAAATTGGTCCCACCATGACAGTATGGTTATGTCAGCTGGCAGGTATGAAAACAAGATAGTAATTGTGATAAATCCTTTGTGACTTAATTGCACTGGTCAGAAACCCAAACATACACATAAAGCCTAACAGAAAGAGAGAGCCAGGAAAGAAGAATGACGTCTGATGATGCATGACTATTTGTGTAATTGATAGTGACTGTACAATGTTGAACAGTTCCTAAGCTGCCCACACCCACCCACATCCTATATAGCAAGCCTCGACTGGTAGGTGTTTAAATGTGATCAGCACAGCCACCTTTCTTGAAAGTGTTGTTACAAAAGTATGTTTACGGCAGTGCCCTCTGTACAAACCAATCTGTTCACAACAACAGTCATTTCTTGCATTTTTACAATGAATAAAGACACCTCTTATATGCATCTATAATGTAAGTACAATGTCATGATCAGGATATCATTCAATATGTCGAGATGACATTTTTTCAACAAAAATTGTTGTGTAATAAGAAGAGTAACACAGGGCACAACAATATAATAATTAAAACATACTAGGTTTTAAATAGATGAGTAGGGGAACTGAAAGAAATCTGCGAAAAAAATTGAAATGTTGAAAAGAAAGGGCAAAAACTTTTGACAAGTGTTACAGTGAAGTTAGAGCTCAATCCCACTGGTGAAACTGGAAAAGAAGTTTGAAACAGGTGTTGCACAGAAAACCATGTTACAAAATAGCCTTCCTGGCTGCTGTATCGAAGGTTTGAAAAGGTAAAAAAATAACAACACTTTGTTGGCTACCTTTCCTTGACATTCCCAACAATTGTTAGCTCATTGGCACCAGTGGAACTGAAGAAGAAGTTTGAAATATGTTTTTCAAGATGACAGTCATGATGGCCATCTTGGATTTCAAACATACCCGAAAAATAACAACACTTGGTCAGAGCCATCTCTGGATCCATTCATGCAAGTTTGAGCTCAATCCAAGCATTGGAACTTGAGAAGAGAACAGGTTTAAAATGTCAAAGTTTACGCATGGCAGACACTGGATGACGACGGACGTAGCATGATGGCTATATGTCATCATGACACTTCGGATCAGGTTACTTAAAAACAGTCCGTTCTTTATTATATTTGATAATCACCTGTTTTACCTGCTCATCAATTACCGAAAGGAACAATACATAAGCAAAGCCATTTCTTTATCCAGTAAAAACATTATCCATTTTGCCAAAACATATTCCAAGGACTGGTTTTCAAAGACTACTTATTGTATACTAACCATTGTAACTAATGCGTGGTTTGGTGAGGCAGAGGACAAGGTGGCACTCTATGTCATCTGGTGGTATAAACTTGGAACATACTGGGCATTTAATTCCTGAAAATAAATAAGGTAAATTACTCTCTGATTTTCAATCACCAAATGTAAACAAGGATCAATTATTAGTCATTCAATTATTTAATCATTGAAAATAAACAATTAATTATCAGATATCAAAATAAATCAAGAAAATACCAACACATCAACATACTGGTAATCATAATCCAAATTCAAGTTCCATAAAACTATATGAGCAAAAGATCTACACTCAGACTCCTGAAAAAGTACAAGGATGATAAGACCACGCATTCCAGAAGAATATCTGCAATAACTACCTCATGTGATTTTGACATTAAATTTACTCCTATCTTCACTTAAGGATCAGTAAAAAAACATCATTACAATTGGAGTAATTTTTTTCAGTTTGAAGAATTGGAAAATCTGACTTCGGATAAATAATTGTCAATAAAAAACAGTTTCATTCAAACAGTCAAATACTATAACTCCAACAATGATAAACATATATCCAGCAGTTCTTCCCTCCCACTATCCCTTTTTTTTGTTTTTGTTTTTAACGTATCCATGAAAGTGGTTATGTAGGTTTTCAGAAAACACTTTTTATAGAACATTCCTGAAACACTGAAAGTCATCCAACAGCATCTGTTGGTACTTACATAATTAAGAGATAACTGACATTTAAGGCTTCAAGTCTGATAATCATTTTGTATCAGACTACATACAGTATATAACATGACCAGCAATTTCACTTTTCCTCCTTTTGTATAGAATAATTTTCCTTCGGTCAGACAGCTGATAAAATCTAATAAAACAAATCAAAATAAACAGTACATGTTTTGCAGTAAATCCTTATATTATGGAGGCTGATTGGAAGACAAAGGAGGTTTAACATGTGAAGTATATTTATGCTTTACAACTTTATTACTGTCTGAACTTAAACAGCCATTATTATATGACTTTCAACCAGTCAGCCTGCGCGTTTGCCACAAATCTATATTTAAACTCCTACCCATCATTAATGAAAATACAGGTCTTCAAATAGGTTTCTATGGCATAAGAGAGCAACTGAATGAAAGAGCAGACAATTTGTGGTTTGAATTTAGTCTGATGATACCTGAAGCTGAATTTTTTTTTTCATTTAGCCTAGTGAACTTGTATTGATTTCCCCATATATCATGTGCTGACTCACACTTTTCTATTTGAATTAACATTAGGTATATGGAACAAACATGACTTTGATAAATAAAAGTCTGTGTCTACAAAGGCAAAGTCAGCACTGTTGATTTTTTGTTCATGCTAATTGTTTGTACTGCAATTTGCTCACATCTTAGCAAATGAAACAGGATACACATCAGTTTCGATTTTATCCAAAACAAAGAGATCTTAGAGGGATCTTGGCACCCACCATTGTTTGATCTTTATATGCTCTTTGAAAGATGGATCTTTTCCCTCCTTTTCTCTTCTCTGTTTTTGATCTTAATGGTAAGACATTTGAACAATCCTTAGCAGAAATATGATGATAATCCAAAATGACTGCCTGGAAGCAATTTTAATTTTTCTGATCAGTCCCAAAATATACCATAAGTAGAGACCAAAAGGGAACATACATATGAAAGTACTTATCAAGAAATAGTAATAACAAACTTTCAAAGTCAAAATCCAAGATGGCCTCCTTTAGGCCATTTTGTTTCTCTAAACAATCCCAAAATTACATGCACAAAACAAGAAACCAAGGGGAACCTACATATGAAATTTGAGAGATCCATCTTTTTCTTTTCAAGAAATAGCGATAACATACTTCATTGAAAAAATCAAACATGGCTGCCTGTCGGCCATTTTGGTTTTTTTTTTATCAGTCCCAAAACCAAATGGGCACAACAAGGACCAATGGTGAACCTACATATGCAATTTGAAAAAAGATCCTTCCAATACTTCTCAAGAAATAGCAATAACAACAATTGTTTATGGACAGAAGGACCACGGATGAAAGCGATTTGAATAGCCCACCATCATAAAAATTTGGTTTGCGACATTACCAGGCAATCCCTTCTAAATAAACAAAGTTAATTTTAAGTGGGTAAAGTAGGTAGGGCCCATAAAGGGTAAAATAGTTTGAATTTTGCTTTAAAATACTACTACTTGTTATTTCAATTAAATCTGATAAAGAACTGTTTTGGTGAAGAGCATTCCTTAAATTAAATAGGGTCGATTCATTCCCTACTGTTGTCAAAATCCTCCAAGACTTGTTCTCGCTAGGTGTCTATATTGAATGTTGGTAAAACCTATAGAATTCTTGTTCCAGGCTACTTGTAACAACAGCTAAATTTAGCAATTGGCACTTGACCATATAATTCTATTAATGCAAATCTACAACAAATGTTCATTTAAGTATTCAAAAGTTCCTGCTCATTATTTACACTGCTTTGTATATGAATTTATATCTCAAAACAAAATCATAAAGTAAAGAGCATAATATCATCACTAATCTGTTTGTGTTTTTAACTTATTTTCAAAGAGACTGAAAGGCTTCTCTAGCAGAAGTCATTTGAACAAATTTATCATCTGCATTGACTTGTATTTGACACTTATCATATACGAGAGTCAGCCTATAAAGATGAAGTATTATATTGTTATTAATACAGAAACATGCAGGAACAGTTATTTTTTCATCATATTCAAGAAACAGCCCTGTCAACATTTCTCACACTCATTAACTCAGTGATTGCTTTGATTTAATTATTATGAAATAACTACAATAATTATTTTCCCAACAAGCAACAAGCTGAGTACTCAAGCATTTTTAATATGACTCTAAGGAGTACAAAATTTGAGAAAAAAAAATCACAAAATGTTTGTATAGTCTGACAATGTTAATTAAGGAATAAAATCAGACTCTGCCCAGAGCTTATTGGCTTCCTTGTTGGCTGTTCAGGACAGTGACCATGTTATAACTGTAATTATACTGATGTATAAATATTCAATGGTTTACATGAGGTTATTTTTAGAATTTTTCTTATATGATTCAAAGCTACTTTCTTGCAACCTGATGTTATTTGTGCAATAGAAGCCTTCTGATATACACCATACATCTGACAATTCTTTTTTTCTTTGATAGGGATGATCTTTATATGAATTATGGTAATTGTAATCCAGAACATGCAGATGCATCTAGGCTATTTCTGTTGAAAAATAAGGTTTAATTTTCCATTTCGTAATTACATTCCGGAGTATTCACATCCAGACAACCATGATTCTATGAAGAATATACTATTTTTTTCACTTTTTTCACAATGGTGTTTCTTTCTCCAGTAATGCTTAAATCACCTTTTTATGTATGCATAGTCACATGTATAAGGTTTAACAGTATATTTACTTAAGAAACAGAATAAATAGCTCTTTTATCATTGTCTCAATTTATGAACCAAACTGAAATCTTCAACAAGGACCAATCTTTAAACCATTTACAATATACAGTTTTATCTCTTGAATTTATGTAAAAACTAGTAAAGTATACTTTTTTGGAAATTTATGAGACATATTTTAAGAAATGCAGAACATGGTGTGTGTGGGTGGGTAGAGAAAGTTAAAAGCTGATGTCTTATCAATAGCATATATGTATAGGGTGTAAAGTGGGTCTTCTGTAGGCTAGCAGAATACAGGACAGCTTACTCTTTTCTCTCAGCTGTCAAGAACATCTGATCATGGTAGCTAGGGTGATAATTATAACTTCAAAGTTATTTCTTTAATGAACTCTTCATTGCTTCTTTTTACCATCAAATGTCAGCAATTTGAATTTCATGTACCTCATGTTCCTTCGCAATGCATATATTACATCTGTAGTCTCTTTATAAGGATTACCATCTTCTACTTACTAACAAGAGGCCCAAGGGGCCTTAACGGTCACCTGAGGAATATATGTCAATAATCTGGGGATTTTAAAATGTTGCAAAAATGTAACAACACTTGTGCAGGACCGTGTGTAAAACATCTGTACCAAGTTTGAACATGATCCACCCAGTGGTTCTTGAGAGGAAGTCCAAAATGTCTTGCCAGGACCTTGTGTAGAACATTCGTATCAAGTTTAGACATGATGAACCCAGTGGTTCTTGAGTCTTGACAAGAAGTTGAAAATGTCTCAGCCAATCAGAGGCCATGGCAGCCATCTTGGATTTTGAATCGAACCAAAAAGTAACAACACTTATGCAAGAAATTGTGTTGAACATCTGTATCAAGTTTGGACATGATCAACTCAGTGGTTCTTGAGAAGAAAATTCATCCACTGGTTCTTGAGAAGAAGTCATTTAAAGAGGGTTTTTACATATGGCCCCTTTTACACCCCTTATGGGCCCCAAAGGGGACATCATAACTTTTTTCAACATAATTTCATATGTCCTTCACTAAGGGATGCGGTCTACCAAATTTGGTTGAAATCGGTCAAAGTTGAATTTTTGACCCTTTCGAGTGCCCCCTAGTGGGGCCGTTTTTGACCCGATTTTTCTTTCATTCGCAAACTTTGTAGACCTTGCCATTAGGACCCTAAATTTCAAATATGAATTTAATCTGACTGTTGGTTCATGAGAAGAAGATTTTTAAAGATTTACCTAATTTTACCCCCTTTTTCCCCCTCCTGCGGTCCCTATTGGGGCCACACCCTTTTCCTTCGTAAACTTGAGGTGGCTTCTCATGGAGATGCTTTGTGCCAAGTTTGCTCAAAATCCATTTAGTGGTTCTTGAGAAGAAGTCGAATATGTGAAAAGTAAACGACGCACGACGACAGACAAATCATGATGGCAATAGACCTAAAAACAGACAATTTTTAAAAAAGAATCATCCAACTGCATTTTTCACATATCTACTTGCTTAATTATCTCCTCTTGGAAAGTCAGGTGGTGTCTTTCACCTAGACATTCTTGGTTCGATTCCCAGAACAAATGTGGAAAGGTAAGATTCAGATGACCTGTCTACCCAAGAAGGTTTTCCCCAGGTGCTACAGTTTCCTCCCACAATATGACCACTCACACACTTTCATCATGTCTAAC